TGGGGTGGGGGGAGGCATGGGGCCAGAGGCAGAGTGGTGGCAGTGCAGGGTGTTGGGCGCCACAGCTCAATCCCCCGCCCCCCCAGTTCTTCTTGATGGGCAATTGGCTAGTATATGAATAAAGAATATCCAGAGCTGTCATTCTGAAGGGATGCTCAACTTCATGGTTCAGGGTTAAAGGAAATCTCTATTTATTACAGATCAGGCCTTAATTTCTCTGCATTTGCTTACTATAGTCTCTTAAGCATCTAGTGCTGGCTACAATCAGAAACAAGGGCTGCTTGCAGACATTAAAAAACCCTGTGCTTTACCAGAAGAAGCAGTGTGGTACTTTGACCCAGCTCTACAGCATCTGTATATTGGACACTTCAGCAAGGTGCGGCTTTTTGGCACTTTTATCTAAAGCTCATTCAATCAGCCTGTTAGATAAAAGCACCAAAAAAGATCCACTAAAGCCCCTAATCTATACAGACACTGGGCAAGCTGGGTCCAACTAACACGATGCCTCTTTTGGGCATGTGCTGGGCTTGTTGTGGGAGCGCACAAAGTTTAAAGTAAAGGGCTTTTTTGTTTTTAAAACATCTGCAAGCAGGCAGGATGTAGCTAGACCTCAGATTAGGTACAGATAAGGCAATTCCATTATTCCTATGAAATGGTATCTCAAATCGTGGGCTGCTTAAGCATTTGTTTTATAGTCACTGAAAACCTTAATGAACTTAAAAAAACCCAAGGAGTGTGCAAAAGCAGTTACAAGTAGCTGTACGAGGGTCATTAATAGGCCTGGTCAGGACTCAACAAAATTTGTCTTTTAGATTGCAAAGTCTACCTGGCAAACTTCAATTTTTTTTTTCACAACACACTGACTGACTGATACATTTTATTCAATTAACTCATGAATATTTGGTATTTTAACTTTTTGATTTGAGATGAGACCTCGATATTTTTTTCTAAGTTTTCACAGAACCATTCCCTACGCAGCTGATGTCCTTCTACCAAAGGATTAGAGTAATACCCAGATAAGATCTATAGGTGGCAGCACAATGTTACTTAAGTCTACCAAACTCTGTAAATGATCAATTCCCTCTTTCTAAGTTTACAGATGAAGGCTTACTTGATTTCACTGTGTATACACAAGTGAATGGGACTGAAACATTTACTGTTAAATGCTCTCTTCATTTGCAATTCGTTTGTGTGATATTATTATACATTTTTTTTCAAGTTTGCAAGTTACCCTGTATTAACCTCTCTCTATACTCAATTACAGAAGTGACATTTAGCTCTTTAAAGTAGATCTTACTCTGATAATTGCACAAATTGATGTCATTGCATAAAATAGCTCTTTCGAAAAAAAGTTGAAAAAATGTAAAAACAGGGAAGGAAGGAAGGATTATTAGCATTACAGCTTAAGAAACTGCTGGACTAAATAAAAGAATAACTAGGGGAAAAGTAAAATGGTTTGGAAATTTATGAGTAGGGAACCACCACAATCATGATGGAAGCGTGGGGCACAGTAGCATCTTGGTATTTTTCTCTTTTAATTCCCACCCCCCCTCCACTGTTGTGATCGGCTGAAGATGGGCCACGACAGCTCTGCTGTTTGCTCCTGATCAGTCAGGAGGCAAAGCCGTAGTTTTAAATATGCTGCTGTTTTTGTCTCCTGAGCGATCAGCAGCAAGTGGCAGGGCCACCAGGACCCCTCAGCCAAGGGAGACAACAACTGCAATATATTTAAACCCACAGTATTTGTCTCCCACAGATCAGAAGCAAGCAGAGAGGCAGAGCTGTTGGGGCCTCTCTGCATATCAGCCGGGGGGGGGGGGGG